GCATTATTATCCCAGTAGCACTAGCATTATTATCCCAGTAGCACTAGCATTAGTATCCCATTAGCACTAGCATTAGTATCCCATTAGCACTAGCATCGGTGGCTGTTCTTCCTGCTCCACACGCACACAGTCAGACACACACATTAACCACACAAAAAAAAGCAAAACAGCTCATCTTATTGAATTAATAATTAAGTATTTTTCCTTTTATTCAAAAATAAATATTAATTCTTAAAGAACATAACTCCCAAATGATCTAAAATCATATTTATCCATCCTGCGTTTTCACACAGTTAATTCTAAGAAAATACGGATATTTATAAACATTTCTCAGTCACACTTGAGCTGACTAGAGGGACATCTGACATTAGAACCAAAGCATGGAAGTGTCCCTGAGGACAAAGACATTCCGGCATCTCAGCACTCAGCCCCCCCCCCCCCCCCAACAAGGTGTTGCGGCTCAGGCCTTCCACACATTGACAGTAGTTTCGACAAGTGTTGGTTAATAAGGAATGTAAGTCATTATAAAGACTCTGGGTTGGAACCCTAACCATAAACCTTTATGTTAATGCAGAGTTTTGTGAATGAAAATCACAGCTTCCCTTTCTCATCAAAATTAAATTTCTAAATTGTTTCTGCCCAACTGTTGATTAAAATGTGGATTACATTAAATGGAGGAACAGGAGTGCTGTATGTCAATACAATTATAGCAAATTAAATACAACTACAAGTTGCATGATGCCTGAACTTTGATCTATTTACAGTTGTAGATCTAGCCTCACTTTAATGATGGCTTTAATTAGGCTGGTAGAGGTTGATAGAGAGTTAAATATCGCACTGAGCAATGTTTCATTCTGTGAAGTCACTTCTTATATTAATCACAGTAACCTCCTCCACAGCACACAGATAAGAGCATACATATTTACCTGGCACATGATTTCCTTCAACATGTCTGCACAGAGCTCATGACCCGCCGTTTCCAACTGGTCAATGATGTCCCAGTATCTCTCTGCGATCGTGTTGTCCGTTTTCTGGTCGCAGCAGCCAAACTGCTCGTACTGGGTGCAAAACTCCAGGTGCCAGGACGGTTTGAAAGGTGGCTCGAAGTCCAGACACTGAGGATGACCTGAAGCTGGCTGGACCGGGACGAGCAACATCCCTGACATGATCAGGATAAACTCGGGAAGGCTCGTGGGCTTTTTGGATGAGCTCGGACGTGCCGTCGTGCGTAAAAAAGGCGCAACGGGCTCCACTTGGAGGCAGCGCAGTATCTTGCATACTTGTCATTTTTGACGTCTGCCCCCGAAAGAGCTCAACTGTTTAGTCTCCTTTATGTGTAAGACAGAGTGTGCGCGCGTGCGCGTGAATGTATGTTTTACGCGTGAGCAAAAGTAGGTGGACGTGCGTCCCAGCAGCCAGTCACTGCCTTAGTTGCCCTCCACGCGTCTCGCCACCTGCGCAATCCAGGTAAAAATGCACCTTGTCTACCATAATTTGTCCCAATTAAAACAAAACACATTCGTAATGACTCGTTAAGTTAATTATAATTGTTATTTTACTCACACTTTGGGTCCCGGTAGCGCAGTTGGCAGAGGAACACACACACACACACACACACACACAGAGACAGCAGGAGCAGGGCACAGTGTCGAGGCATGCAAACATCAACATGCTACCACAACACAAACTGTAATTATGTCTCTCGTGGATGTAAAGACGCCTCCGGGCAGCAACATCGTGGCACCAGCTGTGCTTCATACAGATGTGTGTGTTCTGGCATGTCAACTTTGATTTCCATAGTCAAGATGTCTTTCATCATTTTCTGCTGGTGCCAAGTGAAACACATGTAATCAAGACAAACAACATTCTCTGCTTTGTTTTGTGTGATGTTATCTATCCCCAAATATATAATTCTTTTTTTTTATCTTACTTTCTATTTTGTTGACAGCATTGTATCAGGATGAAAACATAATTACATGACACCTACAGAGGGTTCCCACAGTACATTGATTAGCTAAACCACTCTGCACCTGACACATTGCATCTCCTCTATTGATCAATTTAGTCAGTCGATAACAGTCTTAACAATATAGTCACACGAATTAAATATGTGGCATTTTTCCATGAAGGCATTGATGGATTACGAACTCAGCAGCTCCCAGTTGCGTCACACAAGAACCAGTTTTCAGACTGAAGAAGAGGTTGTTGAAATAAATTGTCTTTTTTTTGGATGATCTTTATGTCTGCCAGTCTGAACTCTCACAGCCTTTGAAGAGTCAACACTCAGGTAATACCTCCTGAGATAGAGACCAGTACAAACATTATAACCAATGCTTCTGTTGTCCATCATGGAAAGAAAGTAACACACAGAATAACGTGCAGTATTTATCCATCAGATGGCAGCAACCAATCTACGAGTGCACCTGAAAGTGAACAAGGATGCGGAAATACGTCATTGTTTTAGTTCGCGTTTGTTTTGGTGAGGAGAAAATTAGTTAGTTAGAATAAAAAACATAAAACTTCCGTCTGGACGCTTCAGCTTAAAATATTTATTGATGAAAATTGATTTGTTGGTACATACTTTGGTTGACTAAAACAGCAACAGATAAACAAAATGTGATTAAAATGCATAAGTAATAATCGTAATGTGTTTTGTTTTAATTTAACACACACACGTGGAACAAAATATATTTGGAAGTTTATTTTGAAGGCTGAACCTGTTCTCTTCCGGTCGCGTGTAAGTTAACCGTGTTTGTATTGACGCGCGCAGTTAAGGCGCTGCCGAGCCTGACAAAATACAATTTGAACGGAACGTATGCAGCTAAAAATCCACCGCCATGGCACCATAAACGGGTGGAAAGAAGACACGGTTGCATGCTCGGTAGGTGACCCGAGTCGGGCAACTTTTCCCTGAAACACAGACGGCTGTGTTGGACGCCGGAGTAGCTACAATGAGCTCAGAGCACCAGAGCGACAGCGAGGACGCCGACGAGTCGCAGGACAGGCCCAACAACAGCGGCGGCGACAAAGAGGAGGACCCCGACATCGACGACTCGGACGTGGAAGATGAAATCGCTCCGAGGGTTTCTCCCTCTCCGCCGGGCAGCAGCGGGATTAGGCCGGAGCGCAGAGCGAGGTCTCCGGCGTCGGAGGAGCGAGAGCCCCGCTGCGAACCGCCCGCCGCGCCACCGCCGGGCTCCAGCGGCGAGGGCTCCAGCGCGGTCACCCGCAGGGGGAATACCCTGTTCTCCTGGCTGCAGAGCAGGACTATAAGGCGAGGGGTGTTTGTGGACCCAGCCAGGGAAAACTTCAGGACAATGACCAGCTTGTACTGCTCAATGAATCCGGCGGCGGAGTCTGTCAACCTGAGCACCCAGACACACGGAGCGGTGTTCAACCTGGAGTACTCTCCGGATGGGTAAGACGACACCGCTATATTTCAGGCCTTTTCACCTGGAGATCATGTTCAAAGGGTTCTCACTATTGACATGTTAAACAGTGCACTTAATGGGTAGATTGCCTGGAAAGTGCTTGAATTGCTTCATCAGATCCATCCTCGTGTCTCTGGACACCTGCAGCATCCAAGGACCACTTGTGTAGGAAAGCCCACTGGTTGATATTTATGTTGAAACATATTAAAGATGAAGTTCTAAACTGGCAATCACAACATGATCGTTTGAGTTCCTCAAAACAAAAGCCACTCGCAGTAAACTGAGGACAACATGCATGTTTAAGCCTCAGGGACTCAAACGGAGGAAGTAAATCCTGCAACCAGGTCAAGCTGTCCAGTCCGGGTCCGCTCTGTTAGTGGGCTGGTTGTGGCAGCAGGACAGACCGCATGCACAGTGAAGTGGATGCTTTAGAGCTTTACATCTTTGAGGCCTTTAATGAGAAAACTGATCTCATGTTATGACACAATTTTAATAACATTATTCACATTAATACAACTTTTGGTACACGAAGATTTTGCATGACAGTCAGGGATGTCGTGGGAAGTACATTTCAGTTCATTCACGTACAGTTTGATGTTTTATGATTCATTACTGTGTACTGTGTACATCATACATGTTGGGTCTAAGTCAGAAGTTGTGTTGTTGGAGCTGTCTGTGTTGATGTGTTGCAAAGCATAATAAAAATATTGTTCTCAAACCAAGTCTCTGATTGGTCTGCTCAGGTCTGTGCTGACGGTGGCCTGCGAGCAGACTGAAGTCCTGCTGTTTGATCCCATCTCGTCCACACACATTAAAACCCTGACGGAGGCCCACGAGGACTGCGTCAACAACATAAGGTGCTTTTCTCAAGTTGTAAATCATCCAGGGAGGGTTTTTAAAAGGAGGGGGACCAGACAAAAAGAATCGGGGTGCTCAACTACATTAGGTGAAGCTCCTTGTCAGGATATGAATGTCTTGATTCATGTCCAATAATCCCATAAATATCTGTGCCACTGCAGGTTTTTGGACAATCGTTTGTTTGCCACCTGCTCTGACGACACCACCATTGCATTATGGGATCTCCGTAAGCTCAACTCCAAGGTTTGCTCGCTGCACGGCCACGCCAGCTGGGTGAAGAACATCGAGTACGACACCAACACTCGTCTCCTCGTCACGTCCGGCTTCGACGGCAACGTCATCACGTGGGACACCAACAGGTCTGTGTGGTTGTGTGAGCGTCAGTTTGTACTGCGGACATTTAAGAGTAGATATTAGAAAGCTGAGTCTCTTTTCATCTACCGTGTGTGTCTTGATCAAAACCACTGGTCTTTGAAGTCCTTTAAACAGATTTACACTTCATTATGTCAGCCATCAAACCTCCTGTCGTGGTCCCTCCCCCTGCAGGTTTACAGAAGACGGCTGCCCGCACAAAAAGTTCTTCCACACCCGTTACCTGATGAGGATGCGTCTGACGCCCGACTGTTCCAAGATGCTCATCTCCACTTCCTCGGGGTACCTGCTCATCCTCCACGACCTGGACCTCACCCAGTCCCTGGAGGTGGGCAGCTACCGCATGCTGCGAGCGCGACGGACGCCCCTCAGCTCAGGTCAGACCACCGTCTCCCTGAACACCCAACATTCTGCTCACAAGTCACATGACCTTTCTCACCAAAGAACCCTCAGATTTCTCTTTTTCTCTGTAATATCTTTGGTTACTTGAAGCAGTTGTTTGATAAGTCAATTAGTTAATTAAGACTTAAAGGGAGGCTCGGTGATCTTCTTCCTGAAGTCATGAATCCAATGCTCTGACAGAAACAAACATCTGGTGTCTCTGGCCATCGCAGGCTGTGATAAGCTCGTCCAATCAGTTGCTTCGGCTCGAATGTCGTATGTTTGTGTTTCTCCACTTTTGGAGCTAATGTTGAAAGCTACTTTTATTGGAAAATAGAAGTCGTGCCTCTTCTGGTTGACCACCATGTGACCTGATTTCGGGGGAAAAGGAGAATTACACATGTGATGTTTGCCGATTTTAAAAGATAATTTTGCGCGTCAAGAAATTGACATTTAGTTGTAACACTGTTGAAGTATAAGACTGAGAAAATATGTAATTAGAAAAACTACACACCCAAAAGAAGGTTCCTGCTGATTCCAGACTGAATGAAGTGATTTGTGACCCTGCTGTGACTCCGTAGATGGAGGCACGTCTGCGTCCAGGTCAGCTGGAACTCCTCGCCACGGAAATGACTCCAGCAAGATCCACCCTCCTCGAGAAGGTCAGAGAAAACTGAATAATAGATGTCAGCTGAGGCTCCGGCCAAAGTACTAAAGATGAAGACTATAAAGCATTCACTTTGTCCTCGCAGGTCTTTCTCCCAGAAACAGCCTGGAGGTCTTGACTCCAGAGATCCCGGGAGAGAGAGACCGAGGGAACTGCATCACCTCCCTGCAGCTGCATCCGAAGGGCTGGGCCACGCTCATCCGCTGCTCCAGCAACATGGACGACCAGGAGGTGAGGAGCACCCGTCACCTCAGACCTGTTTCATAGATCCTCAGTTTAGTTCATATACATACATATCTATCTATTAGGTATGAAACCCCAGTCGGGCTGAATACTGTAGTTTTTAATACCTGAGATTTGGTTCAAAGACCTTAACAATACTTTAAGGTAATAGTTTACATAAACACGTCTTACTGCAAAAACTTTGTTTTTTAACAAAAGAAATCAAAGTTCACAAAGGATCATCTCTAAACACAAGCCACCTTATACTAACTTATTATAGGGATGAACAGATATCTATATATTTATGTTATGATGTATTGTTGATGAATATTGGAATTAAGTTTTAAAAGGTTTACACTTAGTTCCTGATAAGTTTCTGGTTTATTATTTTAATAATAAATAACAATTCAGTAGATTTATAGCAGCTCATTCTGTCAAAACATCACTTCTCTTTAATTGCTTTGCATTGAACCTGGTGAGAGTCTGTTTTTACCTTTTATGTCCAACAAGAGCACGGAGAAGAGACGGACACGAGACCCTCTTCTCAACACGGTCCGTGCTTCCGTGCAGCTCTGCTGTTGTACGATGATGTGAATCGGTGTCTCATCACAAGCAGAAAGCCACGAATAGTTCTGTTGTTGTCACTGCGGGTCCCGGACTCAGGTCTCTCTGCAGTGACTAGTAGTCTCTGGTATGTGACGTGGACTTCATCTAAACCTGCGTCTCCGTCTTCTCTCTCCAGTGGACGTGTGTGTACGAGTTCCAGGACGGAGCGCCCACCCGGCCGCTGGTGTCCCCCCGCTGCTCCCTCCGCCTCACTCACTACATCGAGGAGGCCAACGTTGGCAGGGGCTACATCAAGGAGTTGTGCTTCAGCCCGGACGGACGGCTCATCTGCTCCCCGTACGGCTACGGCGTCCGCCTGCTGGCCTTCGACGAGAACTGCGGCGAGCTGGTCGACTGCATGCCCGTCCAGACCAGCTGCCTCAGGGAGATCCGCTCCATCTACTCGCACAGCGACGTGGTGCTCACCACCAAGTTCTCCCCGACGCACTGCCAGCTGGCCTCGGGCTGCCTCAGTGGACGCGTCGCGCTTTACCAGCCCAAGTTTTAGCCACCGGTGCTGTCGAGAGGAACAACGCGCTGCAGACCTGGGTAAAGAAGTGCTCATCAGGGCTCCTGCAGAAACGTCCCAGAATACTGTTTTCTATGATTATAAACTCCAAGTATCTAATATATGCAGAAATCTGCTGCACAGAGACTATATCGAACTAGTAATATGGCCTTCCTGCTATCCTCTGTTATAAATGACATCAAAACCATCAATCAATCTGCATCTTTAGAAATCCTGATAAACATTTCCTAGCATTTGTTTTAAAGTGGACCAGCTGGATGGGATTTACTGCATGCAGATAGTTCAAATATTCTGACATGTGGTATAACTCTGGACCCTCTGCCAGACAATCTGTTGTGGAAACCTCCACCCATCTGGTACCCAAAGAAAGACACAGACATATATATTTGAAGCACTTTCTAAACCCAGGTCTGCAGCTGTGACGGGATGGAGCGGTCAGCCGACGCCTGAAAGGACTCTCCTCCGCACTGA